ATGAACATACATTTGTTATGGCAAAGGTATAGTATAGATAGAAATAAGAAAAAACAGAAGTGATTTAAAAAGTTAAGTTTAAAGTCTCACTTTTAGTAAAATAAGTAACATAGCCATAAAAACACATTACTTCCTCAGAATAAGCACCTGGAACATGAACCTAAGGAGAGAATAGACCAAGTGGTTGTCTCCTGAATGACATGCTATAGAGCAGAGTGCTGTGTGTACCCCAGTTCTGCAGCCACCCAAACCCAGGAGTAGCAAGACACAATCCAGCTGACAACTATGATGAAATCCCTATTGAAGTTCATGGTTAGTGCAACCAAACAACAGTTATAGAATCAGATTATAGGTGGAACATACAGTCAGAAGGTCTTTCCTGCATGCTTTATCTACTTGATCATTTCCATGGTTAAAACAGAACTAGAACACTAATGTGCATTTAAAACTTTAAGGAAACCAACAAGTCTAAAGAACTCTACTCACAGATTCAGTTTCGCTAACCAGAAACTGGTGAAACTTTTCCAATTGCGGAGACTTTCTCAAGATTTTTCGGCTTAAATTTGTGTGCCAGGCAAGTTCTTCAGGATACCTGACCAAAAAGAAAGTAAAATATTTATGGATTATATATATTAAAGTGCTCTCATAACTTCTTGCTTATCCAGGTAATATAGCAAACAAGACACCAAATTTTGTTCTGCTTGCTCATCCATGATCCTTTCTAATACCTAAACCAGCCAACACTGCTCCTGGGACACAGGAGCTTGGTTCTAACTGTATCATGGTCCAGGCAGAAACAGGACAGCCTAGGGGGTCACAAGAGATGCACCCATGTGGTATCACAGTAAAACAATAATGATGAACGTTTCAGATTTGATGAAAAAGTGGAAACTCCTCTGCTCTTCCCAATAAATAACAAATTTCTTAAAAGTGCAGATCACACAGAAATCAAAATAATGTGGTAGAGCAGGTATCAAAATGTTTTGACAAACATTTGACTACAATTTTATTTACTACATTTTTTGCTATTTCTAAAACAAGCCTGTCCAATAACGTACTGAAATGTTTTACATGTAAAAAACCTTGGAAATCAATGCATTAATTTGTGCTCCTAGCTTATTTACTCAGATCTTACAATGAGCATCGCTATAAATATGTATATTTGAACTTTCTATAAATGATGATACTGCTGATCAGTTGTATTTTTTAACTTGGCTTGCACCAGACCACTGATCTCCAATTGCACAATCCAGTACACTGATGACACACAGAGCCATGTTCAATTAACCCAATGCCATCCTAAGCATAACACGGTATTCTGTGATAAAATCTTACTTCAGCTTTAGCACTTTTATCAAGTCTTAGACGTAATAATGAGCTCAATTTAACAATGCAAGGTCACAGTGTTCCCATGTGTCAAACTGAAGCTCAAGTAACAGCCATGAAAATGAAACCAGAAAGTATGAAAAACAATACTTTTGACGTCTTTGAATTTGTGAGTGATTATTTGACAGAAACAACCTCAGGCGTTAAGATTTTTTTTTTTCTTTATTTCTTTTACAGAGAAGAAGGGAAAGGGAGAGAGAGACAGAAACATCGATGAGAGAGAATATCGACTGGCGGCCTCCTGCATGCCCCCACTGGGGAATGGGCCTACAACCTGGGCATATGTTCTGACTGGGACTCAAACTGGTGACCTCTTGGTGCATGGGTCGATGTTCAACCCCCACACTGGCCAGGCTCAAGTGTTAAGATTTTAAGACACTGCTCTATAGGCACTACACAAGATCCATCTGAAAAGTTCTCTCTACCAAATAACAAAGTTAAAAGTTAAGCTGAATCTGCCCACATCCACCCTCCAAATGTCCCCCATGTTTTGGTTCAATCTCTTATGACTGTTTCCTTGTTCAATACTCAACCTGTTTCAAAAATGTAGTATCAAAACACAATCATACTCGGGCTGGTTTGGCTCAGTAGTTGAGCGTCAATCCATGCACCAAGAGGCTGCCAGTTCGATTCCCAGTCAGGACACATGCCCAGGTTGTGGTCCCGATCCCCAGTGGGGGGCATGCAGGAGACAGCCAATCGATGTTCTCTCTCATCGATGTTTCTATTTCTCTCTACCTCTCCCTTCCTCTCTCCCTAAAAATCAATAAAGAAAAAATTTAGAAAACAAACAACCACAGTCATATCTACCATACAATTGAAAAAAGACTTTAGTTTTACATACTCCATTTGGCCTTATTAGAGGTGAAATGCTAGGGATACACTCAAATTTGGCGTTAGCTGTAGTACTCTGCAAAATCTGCATTCCCTTGCAAACTTTATAAGGTTGAACAGTTAAACGTCTACTTTGATATAATTTCTGGCAACAATGAAATCCTATGCGATCAATGGAAAACAATGTGTTACCATATTACCAAATAACCAAAATCATTAATTTGAATTCTGCATGCCATTACTTATCAAATACAGATAAGCAGTCTGGAATATAACTTGGGCAAATAGTTCTGTATGTGCCTTAATATGTTTATTTCTAATAAATAAAATGTAAATTTATTATAATGAGACTAAAATTCTACTCTAAGTAACTAAGATTGTGAAAGCTATTAATCAAATGAAGAACTATATTTAAAAACATTCAAATAATACAGAAAAATTGGATGTTAAATAAAAAATATATTTCTAATATACACATTTAGAAACAACCTTTTTGAGCCAACAAATATTTATTAAAATCCTAGTAAATTTTAACATCAAATAATCTCAAAGACCTATATTTAATTTTCAGTTATGTAATTCAAATTTAGCTCAAGTCTTGAAAGTCCTATCTGTAAACTCGTCATGTCTTTTGAGGATAAATTAAAAGTACCACTCTCAGCTTTATACTGCAAAAATTCTTAAGGGGGGGAAAATCTCTGTAAATATATACAACATCCATGATAAATAATCTTCAATCCACACAGTAAAATGAACAAAAAGAATGACAAGGTGTGTTCTCTACAAACAACTGTCTAAATAAGACTTTTATAAGAACATTTTAGGATAATTCCTTACAGTTCTGAATCAAAAGTAAGAAAAAAAAAATGTCCAGAAAACAGGGTTTTCACAAACTTTCCTAATTATTATTCCAGTGTAAAGTAATGATTAGAAGCACTGAGTAAAAAACATGAGGATGTCTCAGAATTATGTACAGGTTCTTTCATGCTAATAGCAAATGCGTTACCAAGAGGTATATTCAAGTGACAAAGATTAAAATCTCAGAGCCTTGTTGTACCTACCAACTCAGGGGTTGTGGAACTTCAACTTTCTGACCATCCACTTCCAGGTCCTCCAATTCCTTGAAATACTTGCTCTTTAAGCAATGCAGAATCTCTTTTGCGTGGCTATTTAAAAAAAAAAATAAGCAAGTTTCAAACCAACCTGACAGGCTAATTTAATACAGTTTATCTTTTCATAAATTTAAGATTACAAGTGATTTGAAACTAAAAACTACCTGTGCATGAAGAGAAACTATTCTTTGACCACTGCCTTTTTACTCTATTCCTTCAAAACTTAAACAATACTGTTTAATCACTAATAGATGGTAAATTAAATGCAATACTACTACATTCCTTCCCTCTTAAATATTCCTACAGTTCAGTGTTTACTTGCAATTTATCTTGGAAAGATATAACTACAAACATATCAAAAGAGAGAGAACCAGAAGCTTTACCCAAACTCGGTAATGTCAGAAATGCTCACGTGTTCCAAGGGGTAGGCATCCTCAGCGAACGAATCCCCAGGGGCCCACTCTTTCTCGGGCAGCATTTTCGTTTCTTATTCTAGCCTCCCATCTCCTAATGCCTCCTTGACCTATTCCACTGGACCCCGTGCTCCCTCCTCGATGCTTCCAGACTCGAGGGTCTACACCGCTGACACGCAGCGGTTCTCTAGCGCTGTGACACTTCCCAGGGGAAACACTCTCGTTTTAAAATGTTAACCTTAGGCATCCCAACGCCAACTCTCGAGAAAAATAAACGCACAGTCCCTTACCTTTTGTAGCCAGTAATTCTTAAAGTGGCCGGGAGGGGCTCCCTGAGCGCTTCCATGAACTGGTCCCATTCGCCCTCTGGTACAATTTTGAGCTCCTGGTAGTAGTGCTCGAAGAGCTTGTTCTCCTTGACGATCTCGGGGTACCCGCCTTCCCAGCCCTGAGGAACAAAAAAGAAATCTACTCAGGGCTCAAAAAGCCGCCCCCTGGTCTTGAGGTCTGGGAGGCCCACGTGGGGCGCCGGACTGCCCTTGCCCCGGCTCCTACCGCGTCATTACGCTTCCCGCTGCCCTCGGCGCCGACCTCCGCGTCCTCTGGCCGCCGGCGTTGCTGCTGCTGCTGCTGGAGCCGCCGGCTCCGCGCCCGCCGCCCCATGGCCCACGCGGTCGCGCACGCCACCCGCACCCACAGACCTGCCACCTTGGGCTGCGCGCACTTCCGGGCTGCAGCACGAGGCCCCCGCAGGCCCGCGCCTCCGCCTCTCCCGGGCCTGCGGGAAAGTTCAATAAGTACGTGAAAAGCACTGCGACACGTACTCCCAGAAAACAACGAGCGAAGGGATCCGCTGATAGCCTGAGTGCGTAAGTGGCAAAAGAAAGCAGCCCTAAAGGCGTCTCTGCGTCAAGTGCCCGGGTTCCCCAAGTGGCCTCAGGCAGCTCCGTGGACAACCCGAGGTCGCGTGTGCGCAGAGCGGCGATCCGCCGCGTAGGTGGAGCCGACGGCCTACAGGCCCGCCTCCCGCTCCGCCCCCGGCGCACGGCGCGCGCGCCGGTGACTGGTCCAGCTCCCGCAAGCGGCGCACCCACCGCTTCAGAACCACACAGCAGCGGATCGCAGCTTGGGCGTCGGCGGCCCACGCGGGCTTCAGGTAACCGCGCCTCCCAACCGTTCACCGCCCCCTCACCGCTGCCCTATATGTGCCCCGCCACGGCCGCCCGGCAATGGGACGTGCCTGCCGTCCTTCAAGATGGAGCTGGCGGAGCGGTTCCTGCTGGACGCGCTTGCTTACCTGGAGTGCGCCCTAGGCATCCTGGCCTTCGTGCTGGTCTCGCGGGTGGGCTCGCCCTATGGGCGCTATGTGTCCCAGCGCTCGGCCTGGCAACTGGCTGCGCCCACCGCCTGGGTGGTGCAGGAGCTGCCCTCGTTGGTCGTGCCGCTCTTCGTGTGCACCGGGATGGTTGCCGAGCGCCTCCGCCTCTGGCCCAACCGCATCCTCCTGGCCATGTTTCTCGTCCACTACGTGCAACGGTAAAGGCTGGCGGCCCCGCGTGCCTCCGTGCGCCCCCGGCCCAGCTCCTCTCCCTGTCCCCAGGCCAGGATTCCTACCCTATCCCCCGCCTGTGTCGCCTCAACTTGTTGCTCTCGCCCTGTGCGTGCCCCAGGCTCCCTCTACCACAGCCCCTTTTCTCCTTCCTTGCCCCTCCCCCATCATCCCTTGCGCCACCACTGCGCTCGCACCATCTCCCTGCACCCCTTCCTGACATTCTTTCCCTGAGGGTTCCCCACTCCCCAGTGCCCTCTCCCTGCACCTCCCGGCCCCACTTCTGTCCCCTGGCTCTGGGTGTTAGCTTAGAAATAAGAATTCGTCTGGACAGGGGTGGGATGGGTGTGGGGTAATAGAAGAGAGGTTTTTTGTAAAATTTCGGCCTAGAAAGTGTTAGCTATACAATAATCCTGGGCTTTGTTCAATTCCAGAGTGTCTGGCCAAAGGTAAACCCCCCTAAGCAGTGTTTCTGGCTCCCTTTCTAACTTTTCCATTTGGTGTCCTTGTCAAGGGGGCTGTTTTTTCCTGACTAGGTAGGTGATCACCTGGAAAGCTGCTCCCCCTGTACAATACTCATGGGCAGAAACTGGTCACTTCTGAGATTTTCACCTCCACATTATGCACGGTCAAGGATTGTGGGAGTAGCTTTCCAAGAATGAATTTAAACACAGATAAAGTCTTAAAGGTGACTTCTAAATCTTTTGGGTTTTGTGAAGATTTTTAAATGACTATATCTGACATCTTCAGGCTCTTCTGATAAATTGGGGCTCTCTTCAGTTCTTAGGCTTTGGCTTTACGCAGCTAAACCACATGACTAAACAGAAGCCAGAAATCAAAATTTAACATTTTTTATTCAGACTTCAGAAGGCTGGACAGTTAAAAAGAATATTTTCTACATCAAGAGAGCTGGGCTCACTTTTTCTGTAAATATGGGCAGGTTACTGAACCTCTCTGATTTTGGGTTCCATCTTACAACACCCACTGCATAGAGAGGTGGGAAGAAGTAAACACAATAGGGGTGGGTGTCTGTCCATCTGTCTGTCTGTAAGCCTCTCTTCTGTACAGTTATTAGGATACAAGAGTCCTGCCTCATGCAGTGTGTCCTCATCTGCTTTTATACAGGTACTTTAAATAGGCAGAGTTCATGTTCAACAATCCTTTCTCTGAGTTCTGTACCCCTGACACTCCAAGAGTATTTCCTTAGGCAAAGTTTCTGTCAGACTGCTGGATTTTTTTGGTAATGTGATTGAACATTTTCAAATTGGTGGGTTTAATTTAAATATCAGTAGAACTCTCATGTCGCTATACACTTTTCCATACATATACCAGAACTTGTATCTGTTTCTCTAGAGGCTAAAAGCAAGCTTTGGAGTCGTATTGCCAGGTACCGGAGATAAGTTACTAAGCTGCTCTCCAGTGGGTTCCTCATCTATGAAACAGACACAGTGATGATACCAGCCTATGGGATTGACAATGAACAAAGGCAGCTCCATAAAATGCTTACATTGTGTTGGCAAATCTGAATGCTGAATACAAGATAAATAATACCACTTTAGATTGTCATGCAGCTAGGCAGATCCACATCCATACTGTGTGTCTTTCATGCATGCTGCTGCTAGCTTCCAGTACCAATAAAGAATTTTTGAAGACATGGCATTAAAAAAGAAGAGAGCATTTTACAGAGCTTTGTTGGAAAGCCTGGTTAAGTTTTTGAACTTAAGGCATGTTTAATCTTTTCTAGGCTCACTCTAGTGAGAGAATGAATGCAGCCTCCCAAAGGTCCAAAGTCATTTCTAGAGTTTTAGGCAAGGGCGTTGGCCTCAAGATTGCTGGGACTATATAACCCCTGGTGCCTAGATATATGGCTTTAGAAACTGCCTCCGAGAATTTGCCAGGTCACGTATAGTTTTGAAACTGCTGGGCTGTTTTTTTATTTTTTAAGTTGCACATGTTACTGTACACATAGCCTGTAGAGTTTGGGGACATTGAAGTTTTCCAAACAGAAAAGATAAACATTTTCCATTCTACCCAAGTAACTAATTTATTAAGCAGTCATCTGACCTAAGTCAGTGAGTACTTGGAAGAGAACAGAAGCGCCAGCTGCATTAGCACTTGTTACAAGCCATGCAGCCGAGCTGGGAAACACTTATTGGAGTCCCTCGTTTGTACAGGTCAGTGCAGGTCATATAGGCCTGAATAAGAGACTGTATGAATGAAGCCAGAATCTGGCTGGTAGCAGAAGAAGAATGAATTGGAATGTGCTTGAGAGAGACTGACCAGGCCCGAGTGGTGACAACTTACAGAGTTTGGCAAATGTCTGTCCAGGGCCCTGTGCTGAGCTCTGAGGAGGGAGGCCAGGCCCTGCCCTAGGTGAGTTTAAGTCTCTTAAGGAAGTGGCAAGGACAAACCAGATGGAGGGGCTTCTCACAGTCCATGGGAAGGGTATTTGCTTACAGGAGAGGGGAAAACTGTTTATTTATCCAGCAAACGTTTACCAAGGATTGATTTGTGTACCCAGCACTGTGCACGTTATTGGGGATATCGAAACAAGATATGCCCTTAAGGAGTCAAGGAATGGAAAACAGAGTGTAGAGAATCTTTGAGATCTTTTTGGCTGAAGAGCAGAAAGGAAAGGAGAAAGTCCTGACTGGAAGCGGAAAAGGGGACAGACAGCTATGGGAAAGAATGTGCCACCAGTTCCCTGGTGGGTGGCAAAGGACATTTTAATTCATGACAAACAACGAAGTCCCACTCAAGCACACAGTGTCACTGTCTTTACCATAACCAGAGGGAGAATATTGAATGGCCCCCAGATTGCAGACTCAAAAACCCACAAGGCTGCTCCTGACAGCCACCCTAAGGTCTTTGCTCAGCAGATCCATGACCTGGTGCAATCCCTCTTTATGGTGCCTTAGTGAACTTCATCTAATTCACAGGCATTGTTTCTCCTGCTCGATTCTACTGATGGTATGGCCCCTTGGGGAGAGCCTGGTCCAGCCTCACTTTTCATTGTGTCATATGGCACAAAGACCTGGAGCAGGTGAAAGGCACACTGAATCCTTGGCCTGTGCTTTGTGGATTCAAATAATCTGAGAAAGGAAAGACTTATGCAGAAGTATAGAATGACAGTGAAATATCCATTAAGATCCCAACCTTGCCTTGAAATGGCAATGTCCTGGCCGATTTGGCTCAGCCATTAGAGCTTCAGCCTGCAGGCCAAAGAGTCTCAGGTTTGACCCCTGGTCAAGGACACTTACCTCAATTGCAGGTTTGATCCCCTGCCCTAGCCAGGGTCTTTCTGGAGGCAGCCAATCAATGTGTCTCTCTCACATCAATGTTTCTCTCCCTCCCTCCCTCCCTCTCACTCTCCCACTCTATCTGAAAAAAACCAATGGAAAAATATCCTTGGATGAGTATTTAAAAATATTAATAATGAAAACTCAGTATGCTCATTAAACTATGTTAGCGTAATTTGTCATCATTGCAAAAGAGTGTTTTACAGAAGGAAAAACGAAAAAGGGACTGATCCAAATCTAGGAAGTGATGTACATTTCAGTGACCTTAAATTCTTGAGGTCAAAGTCAAAATCAGTTAAAATTAACAATCAGTCTCGGTTGTAAACATTTAAAAATGATTGGGGAAAGCTAGAGGGGGTGGGAGCCAGGAGGAAGGGGGCCAATGGAGGGGAAGAAAAAGATATGTGGATATAGCCTTAAATGCAGAAAAGTAAACAAAAAAAAATATTTCATTTTAAATTTCCTAGTTTTTCTGACCATTGCTTTTTGTGCATTGTGAACACTGTGATGAGTGCTTAGTCTGAAAACATCAACATGTGTTATTTTATTTTACCACAGCCATAGTGTTACTGCATTATAAATGTGAAGCTTTTATACTCAAAAACAACAATAAAAGATTTTTAAATAAAATTAAAATGATTGCCTCTACCATTACCTAAATTACTCCCAAATCATCAAATTAGCTATTTCCTTGTTTCCCAAACTTGGGGATGCAGCATTGTGTTGTCCTGGGAGATGATGTCCAGTTGCTTTTATTTTGAGAGTTAACCCATTTGCTGAATGAATGCCCTGTTTCTCACTGCCAGAAAACTTGAGTATCATTATTCCAGTTTGTTGGGAAAACATTTCAAGAGATAATTCTTGTAGTTTACTATGTGATTTTAGCAGGCATGGAACTTGTTTCTGGGATTATGAAATCTGACTTTAAATGTTTAAAGAATGGTTATTCCAAGTGGTTAGCTACATTCGACTTCTGAAAGGAATGCTTTCCCTCAAGTCTTTCCCCTTGAAGCAGATTACCTGTAGCAGGTGGGCACAGTGGTTGTTTACCAGCAAAGTCGTTTCATGTAGGCATTACTCTTGTTCCCTTGAATAGTCTAAGAAAGTACTCAGTACTTCTTAGGAGGGTGACTTTCATTGTTTTTGGTGATTCATTTTTCATCTTGGGTACTAAGAGGATACTTTTATTCTCTTAAAATTCAAAAACTTTCTCACAGATACTCTATTTATTAATTGGTATTTATTTATTTTGCCCAATTCTCTCTGAACCCTTTCAGTAAGCAACTGCAGGTCTTCAGCCCAGAAAATGCCACTTCTCCCTCTTGTTCACCTAGTCTGTTCTGAATGTAATAGGTCAGTATTGACTTAAAGTACTGGTCAGCACTGTGTCAGCTTTGTGTGGAAACAAACCTATAGTTGAAGTACATACTTGTTGTAGAAAACTTAGAAAATGCAGGGTAATTCAGGAAATAAAATGGAAGTTATGCATAATTCCATTACTTAAAGACAACACTTGAAGACCGTGTTTTGGTGTGTCTCAGTCATGGTGTGAATAGATAATGCCAGCCCTGCCCCAGTCCTACTTCTCACTGGGTCCTCGTGATGTGGTGGGTGCACCACTGAGGCAGGTGACCTTGCGTTTGAGCCTGCCACTTCCTAGCATCTCTCTCCATCGTCCAAGCCTCCATATTCCTCTGAGCCTCCAGGTCCTGATCTGTTAAATAGGGCAGTAGTAATAGTTTTGAAGTGTCAAAAAAGGCATGCAGTGTAGGATTAGGAGTTATTGGAAACATTTTGGTCAGGAACTATGAGAAGCACTTTTATGCCATGCCTAACCTTGTAAATGCACCCTGGCCATTGAAGCCCCACAGAGATTCAGGCTTCTGAAAGCTTTTGGTTCACCCCATCTTCAAATGTATCCCACATTCCCCGTTGCCTTGCAGACACTAAGAAATACAAGTTTCCACAGGTAATAAAAACAACTTGGTGAAAAGTAAGTCTTTTGTTTATGTGGAACAGAAAAAAAATAAAATGGGGAAACTGTAACATGATGGAGAACAGTTGACTTCCTTTCCATAGTCAGCCTGATAAGTGAGAAAATGGAATTGCTTTGTAGCTCTCTGGGACCTGGCTTTATTGTGTAGCCTTCAACTCGTTAACAACAGAAAATGGATTTATGTAACACATTATCTAAATAAACTACTTTTATGTCCAAGTACTTCATAATGACTCTTAAAGATGATTTGCATTTTAAGGGATTTTCAACTTCTGACTTAATTCCTTTTCTCAAAGAGGAATAATGCTCATTTCCCACAGCTCCTAGATGAAAGGGTGACTAAATGCAGATGAGAAAACCTGTGGAAAAAGGCTTTTGAATACCCAGACCTGCTGTAACTGAGATGTCCTGGACCCTGAACCCTGGGTCATGACAGGTGCGGAGTATGTCTGTACTGTCTGAGCTTGACCCGCTTTCCTAAGTGACCCTTTACTGTGAGAAACTGCCTGGCATCCACTTTGATCCTTGAACTGTTGCTGTCCCTCTAACTAGATGAAGACCCAGATAAAAGCCATGCCTAGAAGCCACCCTTTCCACCCCCATTTTATGTTTTCTCAACTTCTTTGGAGATACTCTCACCTCCAGTTGTTCCATGCAGACTATTTTAAGAGCCTTGTTTCTTAATTACATCAACCTTGGCATGACTCCTTGAATAAACAACTGAGCAGTGTCATTGATATTTGTGGTCCCAACAAGAGCCAAGGAAGACCGCTCACTTGATCTTGTGCCTTTTTTTAAACTAACTATTGGCATTACTCCTGGTGTCCCAACTCCTCAAGAAGCTGCTCTCACGGAAAGGCTAGTCCTGTTAAAACAAGTTTGTGTGGTCTAGATGTGTTCCTTTGGCTGCTGCTGCTGCTGCTGCTGCTACAGCTAATTAGTTCCCCATTGGTGTATGGCTTTCCTTGCTTGCCTAATTTGGTAACTTCCTGTGGTTGTAGCCTCATTTTTATATCTTTTGTAAAGAAATTCTGTGATGAGATTCTGTTTCAAATTTTCTCCATTTTTCTGACCTTTCCTGTGAGTTGGGGATACTGTGATAAGCATGTAGTCTGGTAATGCCAACCTCTAGTATGTTCTTCTGGCATAGCTGTCATGTATTGCATACCAAAGAATGCTTTGCCATCTGCAGTAATACCCACACTCTACTGTGCCTTCAAAGCATGAATTCACTTGCCTTGACATGGTGGATATTGCTGATACTAAAACAAATTAAATATGTGGTACAAGGGTATGCATGGCACTCAAAACACTGTGTTACAGTGATTTGCAGTGCACCAAGCAGCTGTGTAGAGGGGTGAAATTTTCCCATACAGGCTCTGTCACAGCCACTCAAATCTGCAGGTGTAGCTGCAGAGCAGCCCCAGACAGTATGTAAACGGGGGACCAGGCCATGTTCCAATACCACTTTATTGACGGAGACACTGAAACTTGAATTTTGTATAATTTTTATGTGTCATGAAATATCTTGGTATTTTTTTCCCTCCCATTATTTAAAAATACAAAAACCATTTTCAGCGTACAGGCTGTACAAAAACAGATGGTAGACTGGATTTGCTGACACCCGATCTAGACTTAGGTTGCTACACAGCACAGGACATTAGTGACAGAGAAGGAAAGGGGTGTGAGGGAAAAACAAGAGAGGCTTGGGTTTCACCTTTACAAGGTGCCAGCTACAGCTTGCCAGTGTTCAGAATTCAGCCCTGAACTTGAACCTGAATTGGGAAAACTATCAAACGTTAGCTGCTCTACATGAGTCACATCCTGGAGGGAAATAGTACCACACTTGCAGAATGTTTTCTCAGAGTCGTTTATTTAACATTTGATTCATCTATAATGTAGAAACATGTTCATCCTCTTTTCTTCATAAGTTTATAATTCTTGTTTTTATATTTTCTCTCTTTAATCTTTTAGTAGTATGCACCTAAGCCATTGTGGTATAACAGGAGAACATGATCTTTGAACTATCCAGATTGACACTTAAACCTGGCCTCTCACCAGCCCTATGACCTTGAACATATTACTTAACCACTCCGAGTCTTTTTTTTTTTTAATCCTCACTGGAGGACATTTTTTTTGCACTTATCTTCCGATAGAGTGGAAGGGAGAGAGAGAGAGAAACATTGACATGAGACACATCGAGTGGTTGCCACCCATATGACCCCAGCCGGGGCCAGGGACAAACTGCAACTGAGGTACATGCCCTTAGTGGGAACTGAACCCAGGCCTGTCTGGTCCACGGGCCGATGCTCTAACCTCTGAGCTAAACTGGCTGGGGCACCGCTCTGAGTCTTAATCTTGCCCTCTGCAGAATGTGTGTAAAGTGTCTGCTATGAGGTAGCTGGGAGGCCTTTTAGGTGATGGGTGCTTAGTGAAGGAGAGCCATTTGTGATGGCGATGCATGATAAATTAGTGTCTCCCAAATTGTATTGCTCAGAATACAACAAGCTATGGGTAACTCTATATCTGTTTCACATTCTGCATAATGAGAATCCTGAGTTTGTGCACTATGGTGTACATTATTGAAACATGGTTAATTTTTTTATCTTGAAATTGTGCCTTTAACAGATACTGAGAATTAACAGCATTACGGAGAATGACTTTTGTACAAGAAAGAATAAAACCCCAAGACACTTAAAATAGAATTATAGGAATATATTTTTTTTCGTTGTTGTTTTTAATTTGTTTCTGTTTCTTGTTTCCTAAGGTGCTTGATTTTCCCATTTCTGATCCGAGGAGGGAAGCCGACACCATTGTACTTATGTGCAATTGCATTCATGTTCTGTACCTACAATGGCTACTTGCAAAGCAGATACTTTAGCCAGTATGCGGTGTACGCTGATGACTGGGTCACTGACCCCCGGTTCCTAATAGGTGAGTGACCTTCGTAATGCACTCCACCATTCCAGTCATCATCACTTTGGTGTTCATGTTCCAGTCCCTTCCACTTAGAAAGCCCAAACTTCTTGAGAGGGCAGAAAGTCTGTGATGGTTGATGACCTAGCATCCCCCTGCACCCAGAGTCTTGGGGGAGAGTCAGGCTGTCCCACTGCCCCAGCAGTGGGAGATGATGCAGGTAGACAGCACCCGTGCCCACTCTGACACTGAAAGTGCAAATTTCTGTTCTTGTTTTTTGTTTGTGTTTAGAGAGAGAAACATCGATTGGTTCCCTTCTGTATGCTCTCCTACCAGGGATTGAACCCACAACTTGAGTATGTGCCCTGACCAGGAATCAAACCCACCACTTTTTGCTCTATGGGACGATGCTCCAACCAAACTGAGCCACACTGACCAGGACACAAATACCTGTTCTTAAGGCGAGCCTTAATAGAGCAACAGGCTTCAGCAGCTTGAGCAGCTGAAAGACTGAGGAGACGGGCACTAATTGCCCATGTTATCTAAGACACCCGTGCACCTCCACAGTTTCTTGTAGTCCATTCAGGTGTTATGTGCCCCCATGGCCACATACTAAGAGGTATGAAATTATCCCTCAAATTTTTAAGCTGCCCCACAGCCCTAAGCTCCATAAAGTTACCTTACATTTCATTTGGCTTTTTTCCTATATAAATTAGTGATAATGGAGAAAACTAACATTTAATAGTACTTTGTTGTTGATGAGATACTTTTACATTTCTCAGTCATAATTTTATCTGTGAATTAAAATTTTATTCCCAGGGCAGTGCCCTGGTCATACCTAAATTCTCACTAAGAGGGATCTGCTCCTCATCTATCAAAGGAAGAATGAAAGAGAAAGTTTTTCAAGGTCCTCTTCTAGCTCCACAAATCAGTGCCTCCAGGAAACACTAGACTAAATTATATTGTTTGTACACTATTCCCAAATATCTTCTTGATTTACTTGCTTTTAGAAAACCTGATTTTCTTCTGCCCCAACTATCAGAAGCAGAAGAAAGAACAGGGCTGGCCATCGGCCAGGTGCTGCACATGTATGGGCCTTATGCTTCCCCATCGTGCTAAGCAGGGTAGAAATTAGGCCCTTTAACAAGAGAAAGGGAGAGTCAGAGGGTTAAGTGGCTGGTCCATGATCTAAATTGAGTAAGTAGAGCGGGGTTTAAACCTGCTCACCACACTGGTTCCCAAAAGTAGGCAAGGAAGGGCAAAAGGAAAGGGTTTTTTTTTTATTTGTTTAATCTAAAAGGTAAGGGTTTTAATGTTTATTTGTGATTCTCACAGGAATCATTTCTTTGATGAATTGTTGGAATAATTTTGATGAATAGCTACAAAACAAAAGAATCATTTTGGTCTGTGAATTTGAACGTTATTTAAAGGAGCTCTGCAGACAGACCCCATCACCTGCAGATGCCTTGGAAGCTGGTGTAAAATTTAAAACACCAATAAATTATACACAAGACCCCTTGGCTTTTTTGCAATTGAAGAGAAGAAATTGAAAATGAAAAAAAAATGCCAATTGGGAAACAAACTAGGCTCCTCTTTTTGCATTATGTTTATTTCATAGAGCTCATAGTTTTTGTAAGGAGACAAACATGAAACATAAATAATTAATTGATTACATATATAATACCATGAAGACCTAAGCAAATAATGATAATATACTAACAAAATGTTTTCCAGAGCAGTAAAAGTCCTTAATCTCAAAGATTTTATATAAAGATTTTAAGATTTCCCCAGAAATGGAATTAAGTATTTAGCTTAAATGAGCACAAATACTAGTTTATCTGCCAATGTAGGCAGTAAAGGGAGCTTGCCTCTTAGAAGAATAAAGAAGCATGGAATTTTGAGAACATGATACTTTCTGGAACCTCAAATTGAGGGCCATGTCACCTAGCAATGACATACTGAAATGCAAAAAGGTGGCTAATCAGCTATAAATTTATGGATTCAATAAGTGACTTATAAAACATATTACAGAATTTGGTACAAACTGTTGAGAAAGAAAGCAGCCTACAGACCCTTACCACACACCAGAGTGCTTTAGAGTGCCTGTTCTAACTGTGAAAAACTACGTGATTAGCCATTGGGATGACTAATGAATAATTCATAATGTCACTTTAAGCATACATTTTTTTTCCTGTTGGAATGGCACCATAAAGCAACATCTGCCCTTCACATTTTTTAAGTATCTCAGAATCAAGTTAACCTTTTTTTTTTTTAAATAAAGTTATTTCATAAAAGATTATTTTGGCGTTTTGCCTTTTCTTGTTGGCATTCATTGATATGATACTAATAAGTCTATAAGTGATGACAGTCCTCTAAAGACTTTTAAGAATGGGAGGGAAAGCATTCGGGAAGCTCTGGGGTGTCTAGGAAGAGCGTGTAGTGGCAGTGGAAGATTTTGTTGGGAGCCGAGGCAGGTGAACAGACCTAGGAACTGAATGATGAGTGAGCAGGAAAGGATGAGCCTAAAAATGTTCAAGGTTATAAAGAAAGAAGAGAGAACACCAGAGATTAACTCCTGGGAACCAGCCCCTCCCCAGGGATCTGTGTGTATCATGATGGAGCATGCCCTGAGATGTCACCTCTTCTCTGTGGAATGGAGGGAGCACACATGCCTCACACAGTTATTATGACCATAAGTCGTATTTCTAATCATACCAGTCGTTCTAAAACCATAGGTTGTGGCCATCAGGTCAAGAACTTTGACTAGATAGATAATATTATTAGAAAAACAAAGCCCTGTTGAGTACATCTGAGAGCAGTAATTATCTTTCTAAAGAAAGGACAGTGTTGCCCTGGCCGGTTTGGCTCAGCGGTGGTCCGGAGAGACCCGGGTTCAGTTCCCGCTAAGGGCACGTACTTCGGTTGCAGTTTGTCCCCGGCCCTGGTTGGTCGTGTGGGTGGCAGCCACTCGATGTGTCTCTTCACATCAATGTTTCTCTCTCTCTCTCTCTCTCTCTCTCTCTTCCTCTCTCTCCCTCCCACTCTATCTGTACAAAAAATGGAAAAATATCCTCGGGTGAGGATAAAAAAAAAAAAGGAAAGGACAGTGTTTATTATACTGATTTTTATTATCAATTATGGCAGTTTATCAACCACAACACTTTGTATTTTTTTTTCCTTCAGGTTTTGTTTTGTGGTTAATAGGCATGCTGATAAACATTCATTCAGATCACATTCTAAGGAATCTCAGGCAGCCAGGGGAGACTGGATACAAAATTCCAAGGGGTATGTACTACAGATGGAAAATTCATTCTAAAATTGCATTGCATGATGCCTTGCTGTTTTAGTTTTTCCAGACCTATAACTAAAGTGTAGTATGTATTAGCTGTAGTTTTTAATGTGAGTCACTGTTATTAATAATAGTCACTATGATTATTGTTTTATTAAAATGATAAATTCTGGCCAAGTGAATGGTTATTAACCAAAAAGGAAAGTCTAGTTATCTCTTTGGAAAGAATATGATGAAGAATTTATGGTTTACAAATGGTATCTAAAACTTCATTTTTAAAGATATTATAGAATACATAACCTTGATTGATCCTCCCTCTGAAAACAATTGAAAATGTTGGATGAAATTTGCGGGCTGGGGGGTGCTCAAGTTTTTTTGTCTATGAAATGGAGATAATAAAATCTTTTTTGAGTTAGCTGAGAGCTATTATTATTGCCCATAACATATAAAGGGTTAATTAAATCAATTTTTAAAAGGCAACCAAAGCACTAGATGCTCAACATCAATAAAAACCTAGATACCCTTTTTTATATTATTTTCAGCTACTTCCTGGCACAATTTCAATATATCAAATTGTCCTCCATGTTCTTCTTAAATAGGCTTTTACTTCTTTGCTCCATTCTTTGGTTTCACTGGATAAAAATTTTAAAACGTCATTTTAAATGTATGAATGTCGTGTCAGGGAAGGAAGTCATCATCAGAGTGCAACATCTAAATGAGTCCTAGCATCCAGGGCACACCCATGAGAGTGTGGCCACTAACTGCCCTTATGCTGCTTTGCAGCCCAAATTTGCACCACTGTAGGGTCTGAAAAACCTCAAGCCATGAATTAGGATTCATGTTGTCCTGGTGGGTAATGCCTTCACACATGGACCCAAATCCCTAAAGGGACCTGCAGGCAGCTCAGGCCTCAGAGAGCCCCACAGACCACGTGCCAAGGAATAAGAGCCATAATAGAAGATTGCAGAACCAGTGAAGAAACCCGAAACCGAGAATAGCAGCACACTTACACTTGAGAGACCTCAGGTCTTTGAGTTAATCGAAACAGATTATATAGTGAATACTTACATGTTTAAAAAAGATGAAAAGGGATTGAAGTTATGAGCAAATATGTATATATATATATGTATATATATATACACACACACACACACACACACTATAAAAAGGATTAAGCAAATATAAATTAGAAACCAATAGAGCTTCTAAAACAGAAATGAATTATGTAAGACTAGAACTTCAGTGGAACTGGAAAGCACACAGTTGCACTTAGTTTGGAACCCTTCCACTTACCTACCTGGAAACCATACAAGAATACTAGCATAAGGAACAAATGACCAGAAAATTGTACAAATCTCAAATTAGTTAAACTGGGGCCCTGAGGGTGATCACCATGCAGAGTGTGCAGTTCTGCCCTCTGGCCTCAGGGCCTTTGCTTCTCCTGCCTGGAGGGCTCCTGCCCCAACATCTGCAGTAGAAACCTTCCAGAGAGTCTGGGATCAAACTTCACCTGCCCAGGGAGGCCTGTTCCCAGCCACTGTCTGTAACCGTGACCTCCTTCTACCCACAGCATGACTTCTGGGCTCTCTTGCCCTACTCTGCTCCCCATAGAACTCTACACCCTCTGCCATACTCTGTGCTTGCCTTGTGTAGTACACTGAGATTTAATGTTCCAGATGTAGGGAGTTGGGGATCTTATTCATGGAACACCCCAAGTGTCTACATCAGGGTCTCGTCTAGACCTGACGAATTGGTAAAGATATGAGTGAGTAAACGAATGAATGAATAAATGAATGAATGAATCTGTCCTTGAAAATTAATATTTTCTTTAGTTTTTAGTCCAGAGTTCTATACAGGTCCATTTTATTAAGCTAGTTCATTAATCATTGTTCAGTGTTCTCTGTCCTTGCTCAGGCTTTGTCAGTTTGATCCATTAACTAATGAAGTGATATGTATTGAAGTATATGAAAAAGGTAGCATTTTCTATTCAGCTAAATAAAAAGACATTGATACAGATAGATGTGTTTCATTTATCAAAATTCTGTAAAAGTTATAATTTCCTGTAGTTGAATTTATGTTCTCCCAGGAAGTATTCCCAATTCTCTCTTTAAGTCAGTATTTCCTGAGGCATCACTTTGTATTCAATGTATCCCTGGGTCTGTGCTTTCTTCTAGGAGGCCTATTTGAATATGTAAGCGCAGCCAACTACTTTGGAGAAGTAGTTGAGTGGTGTGGCTATGGCCTGGCCAGCTGGTCTGTTCAAGGCTGGGCTTTTGCTCTGTTTACCTTTTGTGTTTTACTCTCTAGAGCACAACAGCATCACCAGTAAGTTTTAAAATACTTTTAACATTTTAAATGTGTTTTCTGACCTTATTATACTGGTTTTTAGGTTATATTTTTGAAATGTTGATATTAATTTGAATTGCCAAATCCCAGTTCATACTATGCTTTGACTAAAAAACACAAAACCATGCAAATATCTGAAGAATAACCTAGCTATAAGGAACATCAGATACACGTCAGCATTATCATTTTGTCCACCCTCTTCTGAGCCTCTTTGAATTTATGCTGCTGGACTCTAGACTCGATAGTTAAGTTAATGTCAAGCAGGGCATCTGGGATCTGACCTGGAACACGCTGATTACCAGGAGGAATGCTGACTGTGCCAATCATGGAAGCACAGAAGGCCTGCAGCTGGAGGGAAGGCCCAGCATCCTCCCTCACACAGACGCTGTCCACTGTGCTGACCTGGGTGGTCCTGATGAACTCAGCTCCATGCACCCCTCTCCTCTCACAGCACATCCAAATGCTTCCTTCATAACCAGAAAGATTCATACTCTAAACAGGCTTGACTGAAATACTATGTCAGCACTTTAGACTGAATATACGTTACAAAGTCCTAGAAAATGAATAAAACAAAGCTAGATTTTATACATCAACAATGATGACAACAGCTAGCTAATCTCGGCCCAACCTGAAGTCCTATGGTCCTGGGTATCTGCTCCACCACCACCCCCCTCCTTGACTACCTTCTCAGCTGCCATCACCTCTCTGGGAAGATGCTACTCCCACACATTTGTTTTGTTAGATTTTAAGAAGCAAATATTGCTGGTTGCTAATAATAAAAACACATGAGATGATGCTGATATTTTAAGAAACTGGATCAGGGAGGATTGAACAAGAGCATGCCAGGTCAGTTGTCGAGTTCACTCCTCAAATGAAAATGGAACAGGAAAGTCCCTCTCAGCATTTGAATCTGAAATATACAGAAATAGAAAATATATAATTCCATTTTCCAGGTATTCTTTTCACAAAGATTCATGAGTTGAAAGGGTTTTGTAATTTGTTTGATGTTTAAATTAATGGTGAAAAACAATTTTAATTGCTGAGCAATGGATTAATTCAGTTTGGTGGAAGTGTGTTTACAAATGTTGGCTTTACAAGCTGAGGACAAAATGAAAGCTATTCTTTTTTTTCCTAATCAGTAAAGCCAACTAATTCGCCAATCAGATAAACTGATTCAAAAACAAAACAGTCCATGGGGCTATTCCTGCACCAAAGCAGCATTTTGTTACAACAAATGTATGTCTGTAACAGTGTGACATAAATGATTGTCTTGATCATTAAGCTCTGGGTCGGACACATTGGGTCAGCTGTGCCGAATGCCTACAGATATTCTAGTTTGAGGGCAAAACTTCAAGAGATTGTAAGGAGGCATGTTTTCACCACTTCCTTCCCACCGGCCATAGGCAGCCACACTTAGGCAGTGGACCAGAGTTTAGGCCGCACACACTTCTGCAGCCGTGGTGACAGGCTGAGTACAAATGTGGACTTGGCACATCTCAGAGCTGCACCTTGGAATCCAGCCAGAGAGGACAGCCTTTGAGGAGGGGCTCTGTTGAAATAAAGAATGATTGCATGCTTACCTACTTAATGTCACTTAAAAATGAATTCAGTGTTTCTTTAAGACATTCTGATGGATAATGTAACGTTTTAAAAAATAAGGACACAACAGTTTGAGGAATGGGGTAGTCCCAGAGACGCGGAAGCAGGGTACAGACTGACAATCCCCTAAGGAGTGGGGAGGTTGGGGAGGCATGAACCACAGAACTTATACGCATGTATGCATGAACAGTGGACATGGACAACAATCTGGGGAAGGGGTACTCAGGGGAGGGGGAGGGGGAAATCAGTGGGGGAAAAAAGGAGAATCATCTGTAACAAAAATTAATAAAAAATAAAAATAGCCCTGGCCGGTTTGGCTCAGCGGTTAGAGCGTCGGCCTGCGGTCCGGAGAGACCCGGGTTCGGTTCCCGCTAAGGGCACGTACCTTGGTTGCAGTTTGTCCCCAGCCCTGGTTGGGTCATGTGGGTGGCAACCACTCAATGTGTCGCTTTCACGTCAATGTTTCTCTCTCTCTCCCTCTCACTCTATCTGAACAAAATATCGAAAAATGTCCTCGGGTGAGGATAAAAATAAATAAATAAATAAAAATAAATAAAATAAATAAATAAAAAATAAGGACACACAAGAATATGTTTATGAAATTCTGCGTTGGTCTCACAGCCCCATTCATCAGACTCGAATACAAAGAGCATGACTTGTGAACACATGCAGTGTTTATTCAGCTGCCACTGACCTATCTCCACCAGAGGAAGACTTCCACAAGAGAAATTTAGGAATGCAAAGCTGTTTGAGAGCCAGAAAAATAGTAACTGCTTTGCAGAATAACTTGAAGAATTATCTCGGAGTTAGCATAACCTGAATGTGATGGAGTGGGTAGTCCTCGGCTCATTTCACTTCAGCTGCACAATAAAATCAAGACCAAAAGATTGGCATCCAGCCCTGGTTTGTGTCACATAAGTGACAGTTTTTTAATTATAGAGTTAGAAAAATTAGTGAGAAAAATAATAGAAATCATGCTGTTTGTTCCCCTTTTTAAGGTATTTATGCATATACTCATATTTATAAGTCTTCAAATACAATATTTTGAGGTGGATGTTTGATCCTGTTTCTGTTCTTTCCCTTTTGAGTGTGTCCCTCTCCAGTGGGCAGTTTCTAGGTGAGAGGAGCTCACCTCCTGCCTCTCCTGACAGTGTCCAGCACTGCTGACTCATGGGGAAGCTCTTGGTCCACGTTTTAGGTTGCTCATGTTGATATTTTAGGTCCCCAACAGGCTGTCTAGTCCATTCAGGCTGCTATAACAAAAACAAACTGGGTGCCTTATAAATAACAAACATTTATTTCTCATAAGTCTAGAGGCTATAAGTCTGAGATCAGGTTGCCAGCATGGTCAGATTGCAGACAGTACCTTCTCGCTGTGTCTTCATATGGGAGAAGGAGCAAGGAGCTCTCGGGGCCCCTTTTATCAGGGCATTAATCCCTTTATGTGGCTCCAGCCTTAGGACCTAATCACCTCCCAAAATACCATCACTTCATACCAAACACCTCACCTAATACCATCGCCTTGGGGGTTAGTTTTTTTTTTTTAACATGAATTTTGGGGGGTACACATTCAGTCAGTTGCACAGGCCTACAAAAATTTTTGGTGACTAATGAGTAAGTAAGTATGTGTATTATGCACTTTTACACACTTTGCACTGCTGTTGTTTGGCCATATCTGCAATGGGCACTCTTGTCTGCAGCACATGACTGAGCTGGTAAAGCCATTGTTGTACTTGATCCACAAGTCCACTGCCCTCCTTGGGACTGTTCTCATTACCTGTCCTTTTAGGTGTACAGAGCAGCATCTGAAAGTAAACATGGTGTTTTCCCGTAACTCTGTTTATGGATGACAGTGTTACACCTCTCCAAAATCTAAAATCGATAGGACTTGGCCCACTCACTTTGTTTGCTGTTGTCATGTTTTCCTGCCAAGTTAACAAATAACTTATCGTTTCCCACCATGAGTTTTAGTCTGTTTAGCATTCTTTTGTGCTTATGGAAACTCCATTTTTCTGTTTCTTCATCTTGTCAAATATTTTAAAATTTTACTCTATCCACTTAGTTTCCACCCTTCCCTGCTAGCTGTTACCCCAAAACAAATGAGTGCACCTTTCTTGATATAATTTATATCAAAACAGGAAATACCTGTTTGTTCTGAGTGCAGGGACCAATTATGAACAAGCTGATGTTGCATTCTCCCAGGTGTGTTGAGTCACTTGGTTGGGTGCCCTTTCCACAGACCCTGTGTCTGAAGCAGTGGTTCTGTCCTGGGGACTGGAGAAAACTATCAGCATCACCAGGAAATAATTAAGATACACCTATTGGGTTCTTCTCCTCTCCCCTAGTCCGCATACTTCCTGGGTCTGGAAAGATGGCTCCTCCAAATGCTAATCAGTATCTTTATCACATGTCAGTTATTTTTCTTGTCAAAACATGGGTGAGTTATATGGGTCACTTGTGAATCACAATTTATAATCACATATTTAATTACTCATGATATAGACAAAATCAGCCTATGGATCTGAAATGCCAAAGTTTATATTAACTACTTTTAAAAACCATATGCCTTTATAATAAAAATATTGTTCCTTTTGTTAGCATCTGTTACATGTTTAAGTGACAAAATGATTTCCTTTTTTAATGTCCTTTTTTCTTATTATAGGTGGTACCTTGAGAAATTTGAAGATTATCCGAAATTCAGAAAAACTATAATTCCATTTTTGTTTTAAGTCCACTGTCAATGGGATTATCATCGACTTGATGCTTTTTTATGATGTTTCTCTAGGGATTAAATAAATGAATTATTTCTCTGTAATTTTCCTGCTGTTTCATGTTTCCAAGATTTGCCCTAGGAATTGTTTTCCTAGTAAACTTGTAAGCTCCCGAACAACAAACTAACCAAACTGAAATGCTTGTTGAAGTATTGTGCTGCATACCAGGCAGGGCACTGGAGCTCTCGGTAACGACTACCTGCCATTTCTCTGATTTTGGACTTACTTCTTTTGGTTATGTCCAGCTAAATGTGCACAAGACAAGAATGTATGCACCATGTTTGAAGGCCTCTATGGACCAAAACCTTCCACTACCCCTTGCACAACCCCCTAGAACAGTTCTTACAAGGTCAAAGGCAATGTTGTCCCTTCTCCCCATAGAGGCATGATCTATATTCTAGGTCTTTCATCCTACTGGGTTGGGGAGGCCTGGGGTACCCACAGTGTAGTCAGGGACTCGGGGAAACGCTTGGGCTCTCCCTGTTGGGTACTATGCAGGCAGAGAACTTGGGGATGGAGAAAGGAGATGCCTGAGGCCCAGCTGAGGCCTGGACAAAAGGCACCTGCAGCTGCTTCAGCCTGACCCACCAGGTGACTGCACTGGCAGGGCAGGATGCTGGGGCATTTATAAGAAGCAAGCTACTATGTCCCCCACAAAGGGGACTGTGTGGAGGCCTGAGGGTTAGCAGGAAGGGGCAGCAAGGCAGTCTCCTCCCACTAGTCTCTGCACCCCCAGTCTTAGGTCACTTGCCATAAGCCATCATTATGCCCTTATCTGAGATGCTTTTATAGAAGTAGAAACTTTTTTTAATATTTTTTATTGACCATTTTTTTTAGGGGGAGAGAGAAACCGATTGGCTGCCTCCTGCACACACCCCCAACCTGGGATCAAGCTGGCAACCCAGGCATGTGCCATAACTGGGAATCGAACTGGCCATCTTTCAGTGCATGGGATGATGCTCATTTAACAGCCACACTGGCCAGGGCTAGAATTAGAAATTTTAAATACTCCTCAACATTGCAAAATTATATCTTGAAGCCGAAATTCTTGTTTTAGATGCCCATGAAAGGTTCACTAATAAATGGGAGTAATAACACTGCTCATGGCCAGATATTTAAAAGAAACTTCCAATTAGAAGGTGGTTGACTCAGCTCTGCAAAAATCTAATGAACTCATGGTAGAGATCCCCTCCTCACTTGGGACAGTTCTGCCACATTTGAGGAGGTGAAAACCAAGAGAAGTGGAAAAGAAGAGGCTTCTCTTCTGATCCACTGACAGTGCTAGATTGCAGGAGTCCTCCAGACCACACCTGAAGTGGTGTCCTGTGGGTTTACTCACTGCTGCCTGTGGGCTGGAAGCTGGCTCACCTTCCAAGCAGGGGCTTCCTCCCTCATGAGTTTTCATGTAGAAACTCTGCTCTCTGTGGACTTTTAGAGTCTCCTAGGGGTTCAAAATCTACACAGAAATCTTTCTGATGCAGTTGTGCTTCACTTTCACTAAAAATTGAATGTTTTTGTGGGGAAATTTTATTAAATAAACTTTGGCCCTTTTTCTGACCAAATAATTGCTTGAAACCATAAAGCAATAAATACTTGGGATCTCAGGAAAACTCAACAGCTGAGTCAGTTTTGATGCATTTGGGCCCCTGTATTTTGGAAGGTGCACTTAGCTAGAAGGATGTGTCTCTGAGAGCCACACAAGCTCCCTGTTAGTGCTACTTCTAAAAGTGCTGCTGTTTGATTAGAATGGCCTGTGTGTGCAGAGTTTCTGCTTTCCCAGCACACACCAGATGGATGACTAACATGGAAAGAATCCTGTTCTATCTTGTCACTGCTCTGCCCTTGGTTTCCTTACAGCTTTAGTAAATTGTCTTCAGTCATTGTGTTGATTATGCTAATTAAGGAAATTAATAAAATTGCTGTCGAAAGTCCCATAATTTTTGTTAGTCTTTACTATATTGACACTTCTTCACTCTAGAAGTTCAGGCAGTAACATTTTTAGCCCTGAAAACTTCCTACCTACATTAACATTTTATAACATCAAATATTCTTATCTTGAGGGAGCTGTGCAACATTCTTCCTATAGATCTTGTGCATTTCTGTTAAGATTATTTTTAGATATTTGATATTTTGTGTATTGTGAATGAGAATGTGTCCCCAAATGCTTTTTATAACTAAGGTAAATCAAAGCTATTGAGGTTTATTTTTTATTTATTTTTTTATTTTTATTTTTTTTATCCTCAACCGAGGACATTTTTCCATTTTTTGTTCAGATAGAGCGGGAGGGAGAGAAAGGAAGAGAGAAAGAGAGAAACATCGATGTGAAGGGACACATCGAGTGGCTGCCACCCGCACGACCAACCATGGCCGGGGACAAACTGCAACCGAGGTACGTGCCCTTAGCGGGAACCGAACCCGGGTCTCTCTGTACCGCAGGCCGACGCTCCAACCGCTGGGCCAACCCGGCCAGGGCAAAGCTATTGAGGTTTAAATATTTGTCATATCTAGCCTTGCTCCTGAAATTACTTGATAAATTCCAACTTTTTTGTTGTTATTCTTAGGTTCTCTGGCTTTGCAGTCATATCATTGCAAATATCTTAAGTTCTTGTTTTGCAACATTTGAAGCTATTCCTTTTGCTTTTGTTTGCTCCTTATATTAGCAAGAAATTCAAAAACAATTTGGATAATAAAGGTGATCATCAGGATTCTTGTGTGATTTTTAACAGGATTGCCCTTTTTTTTTTTTTTTAATTCTCACCCGAGGACATTTTTTCATTTTTTTGTTCAGTTCAGATAGAGTGGGAGGGAGAGAGAGAAACATTGATGTGAAAGGGACACATCGACTGGCTGCCACCCGCATGACCCAACCAGGGCCGGGGACAAACTGCAACCAAGGTACATGCCCTTAGCAGGAATCGAACCCGGGTCTCTTGGGACCGCAGGCCGATGCTCTAACCGCTGAGCCAAACCGGATTGCCTTTTTTTTTTAGATTACTATTTTGAGCATTCTCTTATTTTTGTACATGACTATTGGTCTGTTTTCGACTTTAGCCATTGGGATTATGTCTTTGATTTTTTATAAAAGGTCTCTATTTTGAGATTTTCAAATGTGCTTTATACAGATCAAAAATGAGAGAGGGTTTGCCAACAACATAGAAGAGATGGCAAACTGTAGGAACATGTCCACATTGACATCCTAATCTTGTGGGTTATTTTCATTAGATGTTCTCAAAGGTTTGTGTTTTATTGTTTTACTCTAACTTTTATTATGATAATTTCCTTATTAATATCTGCAAATATATCAAACCTATTTTTTAAATATATTTATGCTGGGTGGTTATGTTATACTTTACAGTTTTATGTGTTTGTAGAATTTCAATCAAGGAAAAGGACACAGAGATGGGCCATGGAGTGTAGATTGTGAGGAAAGTGAAGCCAGAACGTTTTAAGTAGAACAGGAGAAAAGTGGGCAATGGGGTAGGCCTGTCTCTGATCGGCGCTGTGCGCAGGGACGCTGGCAGGACCATGGAGAGCTCCATGCAGACACCTAGGGCAACCACTGTGTTCTTCCTGCTGAGGGTCTTCCACATTTATTTGTCAACGTTATTGTTGGGGCATGGAAGGCTGCACAAGGAGTTCATGAACCCTGCTGAGATCTGATGACAGTTTCTGCACACTGAATAGGGCGGTTTAACAGAGAATAGGCACTAAATCCCAAGTCGACATATCCCAAGGGAGAAAGCTGGGTTTGGTTACTCAATGCATCTCGAGTGTCCACTGTGGCGAGGCACTGAAACAGACAAGAGAAATAAAAGACCAAATACAGTCTTGTCCTCAGTAGAGCTGTGGTTTAGTGTGGAGACAGCTGTACAAACAAGGGAAATGCAATTTGGTGTTTACGTTACAGAAAATGAAAAGGACAGAGGGCCCTCAAGTTTGCTTGGGAAATAACAACTGGGGTAGAGACCACAGAAGTGAAAGAACAGGGAAGCTTCCTGGGTCTGCATTTAGTCACCTGTTGGTGAAAAAATGAAACAAAAGGGGGAATGGGAGGGACTGGGATAAAACGTACAGGTGAGAAGCACATAAAGAAGGCACCCATGTGGCAGCTGGTGGAGGATGGAAAGATCCTGTCATTCAGGGCCCACTGCAGAACTCTGAGCAGAAGAATAACCATGTCAGCACATCTAGACATTGAAAGGTGTCTTTGGTAGCACTTTGGAAGATGCAGGATAAGGGGCTGAGAGACAGAGAAGATGAGGATCTAAAGTGGAGAAGTGTTGGAGAGAGGCAGGGAAAGGAGGAAGATATGAAAATTATTTAGGAGTGGAAGTTGGAGGTTATATTTTTAAATGAGCAAAAGATTTGAACAGCCACTCCCACTAAAGAGGTACCTGTGGCAAATAAGCACATGAAAAGATGTTTGTCATTAGGAAAATGCACATTAAAACCATAAGCATATCACTACACATATGATGAAATGATTCCAGTGAAAAAGCCTAAGTGTTGGTGAGGACATGAAGCAAATGAACCACTCACACATGTATCACTGGCGAGAACTTAAAACACAAGACCACTTTGGAAAACTAGCCATTTCCTTCCCTTCTTTTCTCTCTCCCCCTTTTTTTCTCTTCCTTCCCACCTTCCTTCCTTTCCTTCTTTTATTCTTTCATCCTCTCTTCCCTTTTTCTGAATTGCCAAATATCTAATGCTAATTAAGGCCAAATGATTCACGCTCTCGCATTATTACTACTATTTAATCATAAACAGCAAATACTGTTGGTCTACAACTTATATACAAGATCATCGTAACATTTTCTTAATCTCTTAAATCTGAGTTTGAAAATTTAGCTGAATTTCTGTTGAAACTTGGGAAATTTTAACTATACACAATGATTGACTTTCTTCATGTTTGGTTTGTTCTTTGAAGACCATTCACAGTGTGAATTTAACAAATGCACCATTGCAAATTTCCTGACATATTTTCTGCACATGAAAATTTTCTTTTGT